TTTATCGACTGTGTTTTAAGTAGGAGGGTGTACTCGCACACACACACACACACACGCGCGCGCGCTTCTTTCCCCCGTGTGTGTTCTACATTCTCTTCGCTGGATAACACCGGAGACTTGAAGAACGTCTTTTGTTTTTTTTTTTCTTGTTTCTTTTTCAATAAATCACATCTGTCAGTTTGTTATCTCTGTCAGAATTAAAACTGCGGCGAAGTTATCAAACGTAGATTCGTGTGAACCACACAGTTGCTACGCGCGAAGGAGTTTATCTTCGCGCCGTTCTCGTTTCGCGAGAAGCGAGACTGAAAATGAACGGGGCGCGCAATACGGCGGCTCGGATAGGAAAAGCTCTCGGACGGATAAACACGTACCAGGAAATCGAAGACGATCATCGTCGGCGTTACGAAGAAATGGTCAGTGGTAGTTCGCTGCATTCGCGGCCATATGGCGATTATCCCCGCTCGGTTATTTATAGCGCGGACTTGAGCACCCCAGACGCGCGATTTGTGCGTTCGCGCTTGCTGCGGCACGCCGCGAACGAATTGGACCGGGCTTAGCATTCTAAAACAGCGCGCCCGTGTCTTGAACGGTCGGGAATCGGCCTCGTAAATCGCGAACCGGCCTCTGAAAGAGAGAGAGAAAAAGAGATAGAGAGCGAGCAAGAGAGCCCCCTCAGCTTAGGTGGTTTATACGCGCCTCAATCGCCCGGAGCGGCGTCGGTACCAAGCGAGGAGAATGTCGGCGGCTACGTAGGAAACTAGCTGCTGGCCAGAGGCGCCCAGTTGTTTCTAAACCCACCTTATCTACTGGCCCCTATAATAAGCCGCGATCTGAGACCGTATATATCCCTCCGCCCGCACACGCTCTAAAGAAGTCCGCCTGTGAACACGCACACACGCGTCTCGCACTAGGTAGCGCTCTGTTGCCCGCAATCCCTGAACAGCGCGCTATAGGCCACGGAGCGCTTGCAATTACAAGCTGGTCAACATATAATTATCCCCAATGACCATAAATTACCGTATTTTTATGCGCAACATTCTTAATTACCCTTTGAATTAACATCAATCAACCCCTTAATTGTACGCTGCCGCTGACGCTGCCTTCACGTCGTTGTCGTCGTCGTCGTCGTCGTCGTCGTCGTCGTCGTCGTGGTCGTGGTCGTCGTGGTCGTTGTTTGTTGTCGTCGTCAACCGGAGATGTCGACTATAGAACTGTAATGCAAAATGGCGATGCGCGCCGCGGGCTAAGAGGGGACGACCGTAGTGAAGACCGACGTAGGGTGACTGGCGTGAGAAAAAGGGACAGAGTGAAAAGTGCGCGAACGCGACAAAATCGGGGAAACGGTTGATGTCGCCCGAAGCCAAGAATGAAAGGTGGTTGACTTTCAATCCTTGAGAACGTGTCCTCTTCGTTGCGGACACGAACGCAACGGGTGACATCACAGCGTAATGCGCCCGTTTTAATTGCCCTCCGGAGAAATCTCAAGTGATTCTCATATCAATCGCCTTGGCGTATTAATAATCGCACGCCCCCCTCCCCCCCCCCATTAAATGGACTTTCACCGTTCGGTTCGTTTGCTCAGCGAAACTATTCCCGCCGTTACAGAATAAAATTGCGACGCGACAATCAGCGAAAGAGAGTTGCGACACGACGGCGAAGAAATCGTCATTAATTTTTGTTTTTCGAAAAACAAAACTCGATCGCGCGAAAAATCGACAATCGAAAAAACGGTTGATGATGAGGAGGAGTAGTTTAGAATATAACAGATAAAAAATTGTTGCGATTAATTTCTGCATCCAACATTTTGAGAAGATGCCCCCCTCTCCCCTACGGGTACGGTGTCTTCCCCTTTTTTTCGAGAGATTTATGCGATCTCGATCGCGAGGAGCGCATTTTTCAAGGTCGCACCAACGACGAAGGTACCAATTTTCAAACAGGTCGGTCAGTATGGTGACGTTTGAACGATCGCGCTATAATCATTCGCGAATATCTTCGTCCGGTTAAGAATTTCTCTTCTATTTTACGAATCACGAACCGTGAGGGCGATGCGATACGCTAATGAAACCGCACTCTCATTAAAGCATCCAAATCGACGATACTAATTGGCTAGCTTTCGGAATACCCGGCATTAGACCTCAGGACGCGATATAATAATCGCTGCGGACGAATTCGGTTTGGACAGCCAGTGGTTAAAGCGTCTAGTAATTTTACGAGCGCTGCCCTACAGCGATTAATATGATTCGAACGGGAATTAATGACTGGCAAACGGAAAAAAGATGTGTTTTACGTGTGTGAATCCCTGAATCGAGATGGCGCATCTTCTTGGAGCGCGAAAAATGTTCTCGTAGATCGAACACCGGACGATCTTTACGCGGGAAAGATTTCGAGCTATACCTTGCATGTATAAAAAAAAAATAATAATAATAATCGATTTTTCTGATTTTTAAAACACAAGCGCTACATATACGTCTGTGGATAAAATTATCTTATTGCCACATGACAATTTCAGGTCTTCGAGACGATAGGAATTTAGTTTTACGTCCCGTCCTTTATTGGCACTTGCTCCCGTGACATAAAAATCAAGTAATGCTTATTAATCAGTTTAATTAGCGGTAAAGCTCCTCTTCTCGTTGCACGTTGCGTAAATTAATGCCTCGTGGCGATGATCGATGCGATCTCTTCGTCTAGTCGCAGTCTACATTCTGAGCCGGCTTATATTTTGCCGCTTTAATTGATTTTGCGATAAATACAAAGAATGTTATTAGAATATAATAAATATTGTTTTTCAACAATGAGTTGTAGTCCATGATGCAATAAGAAACAGAAAAATAATATAACAGAAAGAAATAGAGAAACTATATCGCATGCGATCTCTTCGTCTAGTCGCAGTCTACATTCTGAGCCGGCTTATATTTTGCCGCTTTAATTGATTTTGCGATAAATACAAAGAATGTTATTAGAATATAATAAATATTGTTTTTCAACAATGAGTTGTAGTCCATGATGCAATAAGAAACAGAAAAATAATATAACAGAAAGAAATAGAGAAACTATATCGCACGCGGAAAGAAATGTTGTATATTTTTTAGATTTTTAAATTAAAAAGAGAAAAATCTCTATAGAGTTTATTTTTGTTGGTAAAATTTTTCGATCCGCATATCGTTCTCCGAGATACCTCTGTTCAGGATGACTGCGTGCGTGCTTGAACCCAATGAAAAGACTTGCGGTAAGGATAAAATGCCGAAACAGGTGCAGAATGTCGAGCAGACACTTCAAGATAAATTCCCCTCCGTTCATTTTTTTTTTTTTTTTCATTTCCCAGTCGTCCGCGAAGCGTGGCGTAAATCACTTGAGAGTTCAAAGCCGTACGGCAATCGGCGGTAGACTGTGGCCTCGTCGGGAAAAGACACATGTTCTCCGCCGATTTTGTTCAATCATCTCGGCGTTTCCTCGGACAGCAGCAAACTTGCCGTTGATTGTCGCCGAGCGAAACACACCACGTCATGACACACGTATCAAATACGTCTATGTATTTATAGGGGAACGGGGGCGCGACATTAACACCCCGAGTTTGCACTTGTGAGCGGTCTATTTGGCGCCGAACGACCTAGCGCTTTTATTATAAACACGGCGCCGTTTTAAAGCACGGCATCAAATATTTTTACGATGGCCATTATAAAACGCCTTTTATGAGGAACAAAGTAGCTCTGCGCAGGCAGAAGGTGTTTTCTCGCCCTTTGACAATAATTTGTCCAGAATAACCGGCTCGTTTCACTCCCGGGGTCCCTCGCGTCTCACGCCCGGGCTTCCGCTCGATGATCCATCCAGCCGTTCGTCATAGGCGCGCGCGGCTTTTAAAAAGTAAAGCGCGCTGGACTCGGGCCAGCGCAAAAATAGAAGCAGATGTTATTAGTTGCGTTCACCAAGTATACGACGAACGGCGCGACGAGAGAGACGGATGATGACGGGCGCGGGCTTGGATGAAGAAAGAGAAGAGGAGGGAGTAGTAGGCGTGAAACAGTGAGGGAGGCAGTGTGTCCAGACGGGAGTGATTTCATTGCCCTTGAATTCTTACTAACTGAACGCTTAGATAAAAATAATTAGGCGGATAAACCGCGGGATGTGCTTGGGCGCGCGCGTACAGCCGAGCGAGATTTTATTCTGGAACACGCTCTCGGCGCCTCTCGCGTCGCGGCGCATCCTCCTCCCCTCACCCGATGAGATGCGCCCGACCGAACCGTTTTTGCTTTGAAGTCGGAAGATGAACGGGCCTCCTTCTAAATTTCAGTGTCTGCATTCTTAACAGCTGCGCGCGTTCGATACGGCTGATGCCGATCCCGCATGTTGCGCCCGTTTAATTAGGATCTTGTTTGTTGCGTGTCGTCGTTTAATCATCCCGATCCTCGAAAAACACTTGATATCGATGCTCTCTGTGCGATATATCGATATATCCTCTAAAAGCTTTCTTATCTCTCGCTACAAATCGCCGATGTCTGTTCTTCGTTAAGAATAAATAAAAAAAAGACGAATTGAATACATCCAGCTGTTCCATTTCTTGCGGTCACGAGTGGCCATATCGTTTATCACTCCGCGCGAAATATGTGGGTAATTAATTAATTATCTAATTTAATTAATACTAATTAAATATACTAATTTAATTAATTATCTAATTTAATTAATACGTTATAACGAAATATATATATGTGTGTGTGTGTATATGTGGGTAATTATTCTGCGCTTGTATCTCGAAATGGAAAACATATGCGCGCTCTCTCTGTTTGATTTATATATATATTTATGAAATTTATACTCTCCTGCGTCAATCCGAAAACTCGGAAATATCATGCGGGATTATCATGTTAGTAACGCGCGACCGTGTCTCGCGCTATTGAGTTGAAACGCGCGAATTATATTCGCGCTATAATGGGATTGCGTCGTGCTGGAGGCTGCTGCGCGGCCGCTATTAGAGCGGTCCTCAGAGAGTTTTGGTCGATTTGCAGATTACGAGTCCCCGGGATGCAAGGCTGACATGGCGGAGGGTTCGGCCGAGGAGGAACAGAGCAGTACCGCTGCGCCCGCTTCCCCGCCAGCTGATCTTCGCACTCTGAACACCCAATTGTCGCCGCCTTATCACCACCAGTCCCATCTCCAGCCTCGTCTTCAGCATCTGCAGCATTCCAACATGCTGGCGACCGCCGTACCGCCCCGGCACAGCCACAGTATGCTGTCTCATCAGGTGAAAGCGGAGGCAGAGCTGGACGCCCCCTGCGATGTGCCATTGAATCTCAAGAGCGAGGTAAGTGCAGAAATCTCACTCAACGATTATTGACGTCGGCTGACTGCTTTCGATTGTCCGTTTTCAGAAGTGAAGTTTTGCGCACAGAAGACGCGGTTACGTCAAAACCGTACATACACATCGCAAACTCGACGACACGATCGAGTTTTGAAAATATTCGAGCGATCGTTTTTTTTTTTTTTTTAATCATTTAAAAATCAACTATATGGAAAAAAAAAATTTTTTTTGACGTGGTACAAATGTTGCGACTCGATGAAATTTAACAGAGAGATACACAGTAAAAAAAAATTGTAATTTTAACATTTTTTGCATGTNCCAGGAGGTCCACTCTAAATTTTACGTTAAAATAACTTATTCGTTGTGAGTCACTTATTGACAAACTAGTAAAGTCAAATACTTGACACAATATTTTACATTTATATTTGTTATTTTGACTGTAAGCGTGATGTAAAAATAACATATAAAATAATTAAAATTACACAAAACAGTAGTTACAGTAACTCGTAAGAAATGTTAATAAAACATTTTAGTTTGTACAATGTGGCCACAGATTTTTAAAATTTTTTTAGTATGTTAAATTGACTTTGAGACATCTAGATTAATTGAAATTATTGTGTTAAAAGCACTTAAACAATATTCCATTTTTAAATGACATGCAAAAAATGTTAATTTGTGAAGTTAACATAAATTTAACACGTGAAAAGATTAAAAAAATAATAACATATCAGTATTATGTTAATTTTACATTGAAGTAATAATCAAAACGTCGTAACACAAGAAAAGTTCTACATTTTGACGCACGATTTTTTACTGTGTAATAATTCGATATTTTTTTGCAATTATTATATTACGCAAACATGTTGTTGGTCTACTTATGATCGGCACACTTAAATGATCGCTCGATTTACGATCTCGGCTGAAAAGCGTTCGAGGCAACGCTTACGGCAATGGTGAAGTGTACGACGGTCGGAACGATCGTCACACTCGTTACATGTTTTGTGTGTCAATGACAACCAATTGTGCGGTTAAGTAGCTACCAGGCCGCATCTCAACCTAAATCGGCCAATGGTCTCTCTCTCTGACCTGTATTATATACGATTAACGTACAAAACAAAGCGTATCAAACGACTTGACACGAGAATCACGCAGACGATGGGCGTTCTCTCGCGTTGGTTTCGCGTCAGATTGCGTAATGTGTGCATGTTCTAAATCGCGCGCCACGAAATTCATGTGACAGAATTCAGCTTCGTAATACACATCGAGTTTAGATGATCACAGACGAATCAATAAACCGCTGACTGATTTTCGCACGTACATACGTCGATTTAGATCACGAAATTACGCAACTTATCCGTCTCTCTGCGTGTACGTGCGAAAAATCGCTGACCAACCGCAAATTGAATTACATAACACAATCGCGAGAGATTTAGACAGTGCGCGAAACAAATTTCTTATTTAACGTCCGCGGTGCAGAGAGACACGTATGCGTCTTAATTATAATTATTTCCAAAGAAAGTCGTTAGTCCGGTTGTTCATTGCGTTTGCGGGTGACATATTTTATAGCATCTGATTAGAAACGGTTGCGAAAAAATAAACGGAGATAAAAAATACTGTCGTTAATATGTAAATATCGACAGTCTAAGCACATTATTTTTAACAGACAAGAGTACTCGAGTGTTTATAATTTATTCATGTATCGTGACAGACGTCGAGACGTTATGTCACAATATCTATATTAATATATATGTAAGTATATATGTATATATATATATATATATATATATATATATATATATGTATGTGTGTATATGTATATATATGTAAAACTTGACACGTATTTCAAAGCGTGAGAAAATTTGAAGATGCAAAACGTTTGAAGTTTCTAACGGTTTGCGCAACGGTACGCAATTTTTGCGCGACGGTGCGTGTTGCACAGATTTCCAGATTACAACTACGAGAAGTAACTATCGCAGTAACTATCATACGCGTTTTGACTCGCTCCTCGATTAAATCTCGATTAATAATTTCGAAACGCACACGCTACAAATCGTCCTTTATGTAATTACGTTGTTACTACGTGAATTTATTGGGATTCGTGATACAACGCTTAATCGCGAGGAGAGAGAGAGAGGTGCGAGAGGAGATGAGACGCGCGTAAAAATTAGGGTGGGACTCCTTCAATCAGCGGGAATTGCAGCCCCCGAGGTGAGCAAGCACCGTATTAATGAAACTGATAAGTGCGACGTTAATTCTTTTTCGTGTAATGAAAACTAGTAGTAGTCGCGCTGTGCGACGCGCGGTAGTTAGAACGAGGCGATAAAGTATTACGAGGGAATCCTGACTTCTCCGGCTACGATCGTAAAGGCGGAAAATATTTGCACGTAGCTTACTCGCTTCGACGAGCGAGGACCAGTTTTGTTCGATGCTTGCACATCGGACTAGCGAATAGGGAAACTTGCGCAAACAAGCGTTCCAAGGAGGATATAACGCTTAGTCGCCAACGTGTTCATTTTTCTTTGAGAACAATTAATTCTCACTTATCATCGAAAGTTCTCGAAAAAAAATTATTCTTTTGTTAACTTCGTAAACGCGGTATTGTAATAGAATTTTGTTATTTGAATTGCATATATATACAGTGCGCATATATACAAGTAAAATGCGTGATATATATATATATATACATATCTCGACGCGGAAATATCACGGTAGAAAATTATTATTGATACAAGAGTAACAAAATTGTCGCAATTTAACGCGGACAATTTCCGTCGTCACGCACAGACTTCGTTTTCATTGATATAATAATACAATTAAGTGCGCGCTGTTGATCCATCACTTTACGATCTTAATTGCCGCGACACAAGTCATATGTGTGGTATATTCTTCGTGTATGAGAGAAAGAATTAAAGGCTACGAAGAATTCGACAATGACGCCAATTAAGTAACAAAAAGAGAGCAACGCGGCACTGGACGCTCGACGACAGAGAGCGTCGAGAGATACCCGAGTCTCGAAAACGCGGCAGTTCTCATCCGCGTTGGCTCGTTGTCCCTGTCCATCCATTACACTATTATCCCCTTGGCAAACGCGGCGGGGATACACGCCCCGGACTCCACGCACGGACTTAATGCCGGGCGCGCGTCTGAGAAGGGAGCGTGCAATTTACGCGCAAAAGAACGAGGATGTGTTTTATTCGCGCTCGGCAAAAACAAAAAAAAAAAAAAAAAATTGTATCCTCCTCTTGCTGCACTATGCAGCGAGAGGCGGATAATGCCGTTGTCCGCGCGCTTTTGGAGCGGACAGCGAAAGAAGGCGCGCGATCGATCATTGTCTCCGTGCTTACGCGCGTAATTCCTCCGCGACTGTTGCCGAGTTGTCTCCCCTCTTTCTATCCTCCGCTGTCAATTTTCTGGGGATCGGGAACGGGGAATAAATCTCGCGCGCTCTTTGCGGGATCGATCGACGCGCGACGCGAAGACGCGCGCGCGGTTATATCAGCCGAATAATTTATCCGCGATTTCATCAGGCGCGATGAGTTCACTCGCGTAAGGGGGGAGGGAGGGAGGACGTTCCACACAGAGTCGCTCGGAACTTCTGTTCGACGATCATAAATTATTAGACCTTTGAACGCGGCATTTCTTAACGATCCCCTCAGTGCCATTAGCCATTCCTCTTAATTGCAGAATATCTCTCTTTCTTGGGAGAGAATAATGGATATTCCGCGACGCCAAATAAGTACAAGGATGTAAAGAAGCGCAGAGCACCTTCAAGGTTTCGCGAGATACGCGCAAGATTGTTTCGCACAATTGAACTATATCGGATCCTGGACGGAAAGGAACAAGAAAAAAAAAAAAACATTTGCGCGCGGTAAATTTTACATTTTTAGAGCGAAGATACATCAAACTATCGCGTGACAAAAAGTGAGAAGATCGTTGAACGCTATTTCGAGAGTTGTACACACAAGTAATGTATAATGTAAGAGTAACGCGCGCAAACACACACAATGTCTGGAGAAGCGAAAACGCGGAACGGATCGAGCGGCGGTCCTTTGCAGGGTCGCGAAGACCGCAGTAATGTGCATCTGTATGCAAATACTTGCGTATCTCACGAACACATCTGCGAGCCACCGGAAACCGTTAAACGACCAACGGATGCGTCGTCACGAATATTCTCCCGTTTCGTGGTACCGAAGATTTCGTCGGTCACACGAGAGAAGCCGCCAGACCATCTACATCAGCTTACGGCTTTGCGCGGAAGCGCAGCGACTCTCTATCCCAGATACTCCCTGTACTACCCGCTCGAAGACGCAAATTTCACGTAGCTGAATCCGGCGCGTTGACCGATGGATCGATACGCGGTAACCAGCCTTAAGGCGCATTCCGGCTTGATGGCCACCGGTCCCGGCCGTAAATGCATCTGTCAAGAAAGTGATTGAAGGCAAACGATCCGAGGGAGAGCCGCCGTGCGCGCGCGCGCTCGCGCGAACACCCAGCGGATCGGATCTCATTACCTCGGTGGCTCATTCCGACCGAACTCAAATTGCATTTCGATCGGATTTCACAATTATTATGATTATTGTTCGTAGACCCTCGGGAACCCCGCGCGCCCACCTCGGTCTCCCGATTAGAATCCGGCGAGAAGTCATCTCGCGCGGTCAGCTTTTGACGCGCGGCCGAGATGCCTGAGCCTTGATCGACCATGAAGAATCCGGTTATCGCGCGCGGGCTTATGGGCTTTGTTTACATTCAACGTAATAATATTCGCTCGATATGTAATAGCTGTGGTTTTGCGGCGGGTTTTTCTCTATCGACGCGGAGAGAAGGAAAAGAATCTACGGTCGTAGAGTGATTCTTCTATATAATTCGAGGAAAACAATCTCTGCATAATTTACCGTGTGTGTTACGAAACAATTACACGCCTATTATCTATACGCGAGCTATACGGTAGATAAGACAAATCGCGCGTCCCGGCTACTTAAAAAAAAAACCAAAGAACGCATCGC